GTATGTATATGGGTCTCTATGTATCTCTATGGGTTCTCTATGTATCTCTATGGGTCTCTATGTATCTCTATGGGTCTCTATGTATCTCTATGCGTTCTCTATGTATCTCTATGGGTCTCTATGTATCGCTACGGGTCTATATGTATCTCTATGTATCTCTATGTATCGCTACGGGTCTCTATGTATCTCTATGGATCTCTATGTATCTCTATGGGTTCTCTATGTATGTATGTATATGGGTCTCTATGTATCTCTATGGGTTCTCTATGTATCTCTATGGGTCTCTATGTATCGCTACGGGTCTCTATGTATCTCTATGGGTCTCTATATATCTCTATGGGTCTCAATGTATCTCTATGGGTTATATATGTATGTATATAGGTCTCTATGTATCTCTATGGGTTTTCTATGTATCTCTATGGGTCTCTATGTATCTCTATGGGTTATCTATGTATCTCTATGGGTTCTCTATGTATCTCTATGGGTCTCTATGTATCGCTACGGGTCTCTATGTATCTCTCAAGGTATTTGTGTATTTCCATGGGTCGCTACATATATATTTGTGTATCCATATCAGCATTCTATGAATCATTCGGTAATGTCACGTAGATAGAAATGTTGCTACATTGGCGTTGCTGCTGTATTGGCATTGCTGCTACATTGGCATTGTTGATGCATTGACATTGCTGCTACATTGACATTGTTGTTGCATTGACATTGTTGCTGCATTGACATTGTTGCTGCACTGGCATTGTTGTTGCATTGGCATTGTTGCTACATTGGCATTGTTGCTACATTGGCATTGCTGCTGCATTGTTGCTACATTGACATTGTTGCTACATTGGCATTGTTGCTACATTGACATTGTTGTTGCATTGGCATTGTTGCTGCATTGGCATTGCTGCTGCATTGGCATTGTTGTTGCATTGGCATTGTTGCTACATTGGCATTGTTGCCACATTGACATTGTTGCTACATTGACATTGCTGCTACATTTACATTGTTGTTACATTGGCATTGTTTCTGGATTGGCATTATTGCTTCATTGGCATTGCTGCTACATTGGCATTGTTGTTGCATTGACATTGTTGTTGCATTGGCGTTGCTGCTGGATTAGCGTTGCTGAAACATTGACATTGCTGCTACATTGACATTGTTGATGCATTGGCATTGTTGCTACATTGGCATTGTTGCTACATTGGCGTTGCTGCTACATTGACATTGTTGATGCATTGGCATTGTTGCTTCATTGGCATTGTTGATGCATTGACATTGTTGTTTTGCATTGGCATTGTTGCTACATTGGCATTGTTGCTACATTGGCATTGTTGCTACATTGGCATTGTTGATGCATTGGCATTGTTGCTACATTGGCATTTTTGATGCATTGGCATTGTTGTTGCATTGGCATTGCTGCTGCATTGGCATTGTTGTTACATTGGCATTGTTGCTGCTACATTGGCGTTGTTGCTGCATTGGCGTTGCTGCTACATTGGCATTGTTGCTGCATTGGCATTCGTGTACCGCCCATGCGCCTGGCGCTGCTGATACATTTGGGCTAGGCCCATCCCCCAAACCATTATGAACAGTTTGCCTTTCGAGGCTGACTCCTTTGCCTGAATGACGACCGCTTGTGTTGCGACGGAAACGTCGTGGTACATTTATTCATTTTATTTTTATTATTATTTTTTCTACCCACGTGACTTCACCGAAGGAACCATATAATATGATTTCCTGCAGTCACGGAAGTTTTAAGTCAAAATTTGTCTATATCAGTCTCTGTATGTCTATGATTATGGTACTGACAATGACGATGATGGGTCTCTATGTATCTCTATGGGTCTCTCTGTATCTCTTTGGTTCTCTATGTATCGCTACGGGTCTTTATGTATCTCTAAGGGTCTCTATCTATCTCTATGGGTCTCTATGTATCGCTACGGGTCTCTATGTATCGCTAAGGGTCGCTATCTATCTCTATGGGTCTCTATGTATCGCTACGGGTCTCTCTGTATCTATTTGGGTCTCTCTGTATCTCTATGGGTCTCTATGTATCTCTATGCGTCTCTATGTAAGTCTATGGGTCTTTATGTATCTCTATGGGTTTCTATGTATCTCTTTGGGCCTCTATCTATCTCTATGGGTCTCTTTGTATCTCTTTGGGTCTCTCTGTATCTCTATGGGTCTCTATGTATCTCTTTGGGTCTCTCTGTATCTCTATGGGTCTCTATGTATCTCTATGGGTCTCTCTGTATCTCTTTGGGTCTCTATGTATCTCTATGGGTCTCTATGTATCTCTATGGGTCTCTCTGTATCTCTATGGGTCTCTATGTATCTCTATGGGTCTCTCTGTATCTCTTTGGGCCTCTATCTATCTCTATGGGTCTCTCTGGATCTATTTGGGTCTCTATGTATCTCTATGGGTCTCTCTGTATCTCTTTGGGTCTCTATGTATCTATATGGGTCTCTATGTATCTCTATGGGTCTCTCTGTATCTCTTTGGGTCTCTCTGTATCTCTATGGGTCTCTATGTATCTCTTTGGGTCTCTATGTATCTCTATGGGTCTCTATGTAAGTCTATGGGTCTCTATGTATCTCTATGGGTCTCTATGTATCTCTATGGGTCTCTATGTATCTCTATGGGTCTCTATGTATCTCTATGGGTCTCTATGTATCTCTTTGGGTGTCTATGTATCTCTAACGGTATCTACGTGTAACTCTGCTTCTCTATGTGTCTCGATGAGTCTTTACGCAACCCCATGTATCTCTACGGATCTCGATGCATCTCTATGGGTCTCTGAGTGAGAATATTGTTCTCTATGTATCATGGGTCTCTGTGTGAGTCGATGGGTCTCTATGTATCTATGTGGGTCTCTGTGTGAGTCTGTGGGGCTCTGAATCTCTTTGCGTCTCTGCATGACTCTGTGGATCTATATGTGTCGCTATGGGTTCTCGTGTGAGTCTCTGGGTCTGTACGTATCTCCATGTGTCTCCGTGTGAGTCCATAGGTCTCTATGTATCTCTATGGGTCTCTGTTTCAGTAAATGGGTATCTATGTATCTCTATGGATCTCTATTTCAGTATATGGGTCTCTATGTATTCATATCGGTCTCTGTGTAAGTGTATTAGTTTCTATGTATCTCTATGGGTCTCTGAGTGAGTATGTGTCTCTATATATTTATATGGGTCTCTGTCTATGTCTATGGATTTATAGGTATCTCTGTGGGTCTCTATTTGAGTATGTGGGTGTTTATGTATCTCTATGGACCTCTGTGTGAGTCGGTGGGTGTGTTTGTGTCTAGATGGGTCTCTGTGTGAGTATTTTTGTCTGTATGGGTCTCTGTGCGAGTCTACGGATCTCTATGTGTATATGTGGGTCTGTGTGAGTCTATGGGTCTCTGCAGGATTCTGTGTGAGTCTACGAGTCTCTATGTGTCTCTATGAGTCTCTGGGTGAGTCTATGGGGCACTGTGGGTCTCTGTGTGAGTCTACGCGTGTATCTCTATGGATGTCTACAATTTGCAGTGATTGAGCTGCAGATGGAGGCGGATGCTGACTGGTGGAGCTGAATTCACGGACTATTAAAACGACTCGGTCAAATCTAATTTTGGCCAATTACAGAATCAAAAAAAAGAAAAATAAGCTAATTTTGCAAAATAAGTGGGTGCGCGATATGTACCCTACAATCATCGAGATAATCATAGTGAAATGATACCGTTATTACAGATAATGGATAAATGGGGGGGGGGGGGGGGCGGGGAGGGGGGTGGAAGGGTAATATCACACGCGGTACGCCGTGCCAGATCAAGATGATTTACCCCCTGGATTCATTTGTTTAACAAGACTCCAACAGGCAACGGTCGTGCCCTCACCCCGTATAGCCTCAAGTGCTGTTAGTAGCGAGTACCAACGCGGGCTATGGAGGCCCGACAGGACGGCCACGTGACGGGAGTGGGTGCCCAGCGAGCACCACACCCGGCCCGGCCGCCTTTGTCTCCCCCCCCCACCTCCCCGTGTAGATGCTCAGACATCACACCGGGTACATCTTCTTTGGTTATTTCGGTAAAGTCACCACGTAGAATGAGAATAAAATAATAAATTGATAAAAATAAAATAACACAATAATATTCTCACGACGTTTCGGCCACAACACAAGTGGCCTTCATCAGGTGAAGGGACTGGACTGTCCAGAGGACAGCGTTGGAGTGAAGACAGCAAGCCCAGGTCGCGTCCTTTAGCTTAGCTTATAGGACGCGACCTGGACTTGCTGTCTTCACTCCAACGCTGTCCTCTGGACAGTCCAGTCCCTTCACCTGATGAAGGCCGCTTGTGTTGTGGCCGAAACGTCGTGAGAATATTATCGTGTTATTTTAAATTCATCAATTTATTATTTTATTCTCATTCTACGTGGTGGTGACTTTACCGAAAGAACCAAGGAAGATGAGTCCTTGCAGTCACGAAAGCTTTAAATCGAAATCACACCGGGGTACTCATCCGAGGCTGAGTCGACCTAGCGTGAGGCCCTGCTTCAAAACGATGGGCACGGGTGCTTGACGGCCGTCCCCGGGAATCGAACTCGGGGTCGCGGGCCGCGTCCGTTGCGCGACAGCGCGCCAACCGCTCGCGCCACCGCTCACCCACACGCGACAGAGGCAAAGGTGTCCCCTGTAGCCTGAACAAGACTCTGAGGGCAAGTGCTGTCAGCGAGCAGCCGCGAAGGACGGGCAGTGCTTGTGCCCGCCCTCACAGTGGGCCAAACTGTTGCTGAACACACCACGTGGTGGTGCCACCGCCGTTGTTGTTGTTGTTGTTGTTGACCCTGGCCATTGACCGAGCAACCCAACGTTCCTACCAGCTGCCTTCCGCAGGAGGAACGTGTTTTAAGGCTGACCAGTTCAGATATTCGTCGCTGGCTTTGGCCGTGAGCGGGAATCGAACTCGGGTCGCCAGGTTCGTAGCGCATGACAGGGCCATTATGGACCTACTGTGATATAGACACACACCCAGATCCGGGATTCGAACCCAGGCTCTCAGTGTCTCTGACACGGCCATTGTAAACTTACTGTGACATAGATATACACCCAGATCCGGGATTCGAACCCAGGCTCTCAGCGTCCCTGACACGGCAATTATGAACCGTAAAACCTAACAATCCGCACGCACACTGCTACCCCCACTAAGCCATCTTCTGAATTCCATACAAATTTATATTCACAGGTCGTATATCATTCCAAGCCAATTTTGTAATAAAAAAAATCTATATAAAAATATAAATCTATACGTTTTGTATATTTCAGCTGGACACGTCCTTACAGCAATTCCCACCTCTGTGTTCTTAGCTCAGCTGTGATTTCGTGTGATTAATTTCACTTGGGAGGGGGTATCAGAGATAATTTAAAATGTTTTATTATCTGTAAGAACAAGCTATTGCTTTGCATGCATATTTATTATACGATAATAAATAACTTTACACGTATGCCTCTTTTTTTATTCATGTATATATCTCCATCTATATATTATGAGATTATATTAGATTTTTTTTTTCCCACCCAACTACAATTCTATAATTGAATTCGGAAGGAGGATTTGGTTTGGTACGTACTGCAGCAGCAGCTGTTCAGAAGATAGATGTTGGTCTCTATCCATATCTGTGAGTCTCTGTGTATCTCCGTGTGTCGTTATGGGTCTCTGTGTTCTCTCTGTGTGTTTCTAAGGGTTTCTACCAAGCTAGCCACCCACCCATCGACTCACCAAGCCACTCTGTCATCTACCCACCAAGTCACCCACCCACCTTGCCATATACCCACCCAGCCAGCCACCCACCCAGGCACCTACTAACCCACCCAGCCAGTGACACTATCATCTACCCACCCAGTCACCCACCCACCTTGCCATCTACCCACACAGCCAGCCACCAACACAGCCACCCACCCACTCACCCAGCCAGTGATCCTATCATCTACCCACCCAGTCACCCACCCACCCACCTTGCCATCTACCCACACAGCCACTCAGGCAGCCACTCACCCAGTCACCCACCCACCTTGCCATATACCCACCCAGCCAGCCACCCACCCAGGCACCTACTAACCCACCCAGCCAGTGACACTATCATCTACCCACCCAGTCACCCACCCATTTTGACATCTACCCACCCAGCCAGCCACCCACACAGTCACCCACCCACTCACCCAGCCAGTGACCCTATCATCTACCCACCCAGTCACCCACCCATTTTGACATCTACCCACCCAGCCAGCCACCCACGCAGCCACCCACCTACTCACCCAGCCAGTGACTCTATCATCTGCCCACCCACTCACCCACCCACTTTGCCATCTACCCAGCCAGCCATGGGGTGGAGCGGTCAGCTGCTCTACAAACCCGCCTTTGTCCCAAGTTCGATTCCCGCTCGCGGTCAACACCAGTGAGGATTATCAGAACCGGTCCTGGGACTCCACTCCTAGGTCGACTCAGCCTCAAATGAGTATCTGGTGGAGTGTGTGAACATCGCCACTGGGGAGACAAAGGCGGCCGGGCGTGGTGCTGGCCACCCACCCCCTCGTGTGCCAACAAGGCTACTCGATTGGTTTTTATTAGGTTGGGGATTTAGTGCAAAACTAGTTACTTTTAGCCAAGACTAATAACAGAATGGATTGAAATTGAGAGTAAAAAATATATATTGTAACCATAAAAACATAATGTCCATGCATAACGTAGAAAAAAATGTGCACGTGTAATATACGTGCACCAAAAATGTAAATGCATAATATACAGTGCTGAATGTGCATTTTAAAAATGTACGTGCATAATATGCATGCATAATGTGCGTGCATGATGCACATTCATAATGTACACGAATAGTGGCCATGCACAATGCACATCGACAAAGTGAGTGCGTAATGGATTACAACAACATACCATACCTTATGTTCTTGGTTCTTTCGGTAAGGTCACGCAGAAGGGAAACAATAAAATGATAAAAATATAAAACAATAAAATTCTCACGACGTTTCGACTGCAACGCAAGCAATCATCATCAGGTGTGAAAGCCACAGCAAGAACATTTGAAAAAAAAGTGGCGGTTTTTTTAACTTTAGTACCACGGAGAGCGATTTGGCAGTTATTCAGATGGAAGAGTCCATCTATTTTTTATTTAAAGCTTTCGTGACTGCAGGGATTCAAAGAACCAATAATATGAGTCCATCAATGTTCGGAAAAGAGGAGGGGGGAGACGAAAATAGTGAATGCGGTCTGAAAGCCACCGTAAGCGTGAACAATCAATTAAGACCCGAAATGGTTTATCAAATCCTTCAAATAATTGCTAAGCCAGAATCCATCTTCTCGGTTGAAATTGTCTCTGTGTTTGTATATGTGGATAGCCTCATGAACGAATCTCTCATGGTAGCCAGATGGCTTGCAAAGAACCTCTGTCTTGGAGAAGTCAATGTCATGTGAGCCTACTGAATTATAATAATGTACATTTATAATGTCTATTCACAATGTTCATTACCAGTGTGTGTGCACATTGCACGTGCATAGTACGTAATGTCCATGCGTTATGCATGCAATGCGGCTATCGATATCAGGGCGATCACATTATATATGCGCATTATATATGCACATTACGCATGTTGATAAACTGTGAATACTCCAACACAAAAACATCTACTATGGATAACGTTGGCCGCGAAATCCGACGACTAAATACTACTACTGCGACTTGTTCATCTAACAGACCTCGATTTAAGACCGAAACAGGAGGGAGGATGTCTCCACAACTCTGTGGCTGTAGCCTGGTGATGCTGCGGGTTGTTGTTGTTGTGGTTGTTGTTATTGTAGTTGTGGTTGTTGATAATGTAATTACTGGAAAAACGACACGGCTACTCGAATGTGTCAATGTTGTAGTGGGTTTACTCTCCAACACACAACCAATTAGTGCTGTACTGGTATAGTACACTATACACTACACTATACACTACACTATACACTACACTATACACTACACACTACACTACACACTACACTACACACTACACTATACACTACACTATACACTACACTATACACTACACTGTAATTGTAAATGTTGTAGTGGGTTTTCTCTCCAACACACAACCGGTTAGTGCTGCACTAGTATACTACACTATACACTATACTATAATTATAAATGCAGTAGTTGGTTTACTCTCCAACACACAACCGGTTAGTGCTGTACAAGTATACTGCACTATACCCTGCACTATACACTACACTATACACTACACTATACACTACACAATACACTATACACTACACTATACACTACACTATACACTACACTACTATACACTACACTATACACTACTATACACTACACTATACACTACACTATACACTACACTATACACTATCAAAATAGAGGATTTTTTTTCGTTGGGTAAGATCACGTAAATATATAAATGTGTCTACACAGCCAACTAGCAAGGTTTGTCACGCTAACAGAACGCGGCCAATTCGTCACTAGTACAGCACTAGTGTATAGTGTAGTGTATAGTGTAGTGTATAGTGTAGTGTATAGTGTAGTGTATAGTGTAGTGTATAGTGTAGTGTATAGTGTAGTGTATAGTCTAGTGTAGTGTATAGTAGTGTATAGTGTAGTGTATAGTGTAGTGTATAGTGTAGTGTATAGTGTATAGTGTAGTGTATAGTGTAGTGTATAGTGTAGTGTATAGTGTAGTGTATAGTGTAGTGTATAGTGTAGTGTATAGTGTAGTGTAGTGTATAGTAGTGTATAGTGTAGTGTATAGTGTAGTGTATAGTGTAGTGTATAGTGTAGTGTATAGTGTAGTGTATAGTGTAGTGTGTAGTGTATAGTGTAGTGTATAGTGTAGTGTATAGTGTAGTGTATAGTGTAGTGTATAGTGTAGTGTATAGTGTAGTGTAGTGTATAGTGTAGTGTATAGTGTAGTGTATAGTGTAGTGTATAGTGTAGTGTGTAGTGTAGTGTATAGTAGTGTATAGTGTAGTGTATAGTGTAGTGTATAGTGTAGTGTATAGTGTAGTGTATAGTGTAGTGTATAGTGTAGTGTATAGTGTAGTGTATAGTGTAGTGTCTAGTAGTGTATAGTGTAGTGTATAGTGTAGTGTATAGTGTAGTGTATAGTGTAGTGTATAGTGTAGTGTCTAGTGTAGTGTCTAGTAGTGTATAGTGTAGTGTATAGTGTAGTGTATAGTGTAGTGTATAGTCTAGTGTATAGTGTAGTGTATAGTGTAGTGTATAGTCTAGTGTATAGTGTAGTGTATAGTGTAGTGTATAGTGTAGTGTATAGTGTAGTGTATAGTCTAGTGTATAGTGTAGTGTATAGTGTAGTGTATAGTGTAGTGTATAGTAGTGTATAGTGTAGTGTATAGTGTAGTGTATAGTGTAGTATATAGTGTAGTGTATAGTGTAGTCTATAGTAGTGTATAGTCTAGTGTATAGTGTAATGTATAGTAGTGTATAGTGTAGTGTATAGTAGTGTATAGTAGTGTATAGTGTAGTGTATAGTGTAGTGTATAGTGTAATGTATATTGTAGTGTATAGTAGTGTATAGTGTAGTGTATAGTGTAATGTATAGTCTAGTGTATAGTGTAGTGTATAGTGTAGTGTATAGTGTAGTGTATAGTGTAGTATACTAGCACAGCACACCGGTGTGTTGGAGAGCCACGCCACACAATTTACAATGCGAGTTCGACGTTTCGCCAGTAATTACAACCAGCTTCATCAGGCTACAGCCACAATTTATAGAAAAGTCCACCTGTATCGTTCCCTGTATATAGACGTAGATGTGGTGACCACTCTTCTGAGCTCTACTTGCTACTTGTGCAAAGTGGGGGGGGAGGCGGGATTAATGATTCAACGTGTATTATGCCTGCACATCATGCGAGCCCATTGATCTTATCCTTCCTGTTCATTGTGCGGATTAAAATAGCCGTGCCAAAGGTAATCCCTATTGAAGTATGGTGGCCTGTGTAGGCATGGATTTAAATAATGTTTTATTTGATTATTCACTGCT